GCGGGATGTGGGGGTGCCGGACACCCGCCCCAGGGTTCCCGGAGCGTCGGCGAGGCAGTGCTGGGGAGGGGTGTCGGGGGGCTCAGAGAGCCGAAAGTGGGGTGACCAGGCGCACAGGAGGGCCAGCGGAACCCCAGGAACCCATCGTGGCCGGGCAGGTCACCGAGCACGCTGCCCGCCCCAGGACCAGGCCCTTGACCGAAGAGGGTCCTCGCAGAGGCCGGGCTGCGCGTGACCCCGAGCGGCCGAGCCACAGGCCACGCTGTCCACCACCCGGCACCTGGGCCAGGTAGAGGGGAGGGGGTCGCGGGGGACCCCGAGTGAGCCCCACCGATCTGGGGGCCCAGAGCCTTTGGCGCAGCGGCCCCAGGCCCCTGCGGCTCTGGGGCCAGAGGAAGAGCAATTTCCAGGGACCACGAGGCACACGTGGGCGGCGGGGCGGGGCACGGGGGGCGCACGGAGGAGGCGGGGCAGGGGGGCACCCCATGGCGACACTTTTGGGAGGCCTCGGGCCGGCTTCGCCTGCGGCCCCAGCAGCTGCACGGCGCTGGCCTCCTAATGGCACACACGGGCAGCCCCGCCCGCCTGACCCAGGGCGGGGGCGCGTCCACGGGGCTTGCTGCACCTTCCACCCTCACCCCAGCATGCCCCGAGGAACAAGGACGCCACGAGGCCCTCTGGGCCTCCTCTCTGGGCCTCCTCTGGGCGGCACTGGACAGTCGGGTGGAGCAGAACCCGGCTGAGGTCAGTCCTTGCGCTTGAGTGGAAGCAGCAGCGGAATGTTCTGGAAGCTGCCCGGAACACTGGGTTCTCAGGTCTGCAGACCTGACTGGGGCCACGCCCGAGCCCTCGCGAGCTGCAGGAGGTGGAGCAGGAGGGGGGCCAGGGAGGCAGAGGCCCTGTGCGCAGGGCAGCCCGGCCCGACCAGGCTGAGGACGCCCCCACGTCTGTGGGCCCGGGGTCAACCGTCCAGGCCCGGAGGCTGTCCCCCACCCAGCCCAGCAGTGTCCCGTGAAAGGAGAGACGTGTCTGTGCCCACAACCACGTCACGCCAAGGACGTGCCCATGGGCCGAGGGCTGGGCCGTTGCTGACCAGTGACTGGGCGCAGGAAGGAGCCAGGGTGACGGGCGTCTGCCCAGAGAGAAGCCTGTCTGGGGCGTGGGCCACCACAGCCTGCGGGGTGGACACTGCCCTGGAGCTGGACAGACGCCCACACAGCCGGCCGCCCGAGGGCAGTGACCAGGAGCAGCGGGGTGAGGCCGGCCCCGCCCAGGCCAC